GCTCCAAAGGGTGAGAGCGGCTAAGGTGGTAAAAGAAATTAGTTGTATTACCAGTCTTGGTGGGGACGACGGTCTTGCATAATTTACAGACAACATTTGTCTGACTACGGTCTGACTTAGAAAATCCAAAAAACTCCTATACTGGCGAGCTGACCTTTCCCATTTTTTCCACAATTTCCTCGCTCGTTGAGGCACTCATCTTTCACTTGCCGTGCTGCTTTCCACACCACGCTACACCACGCTGTTTCTGGAAACAAACACGAACACGAGACAACGAGCTGGCGCAACCAAACATGATACTGTTACATGATTGGCTATTAGCGTGTCACTCCATACGTTGCTAGGTACCAGACGATGAGTGCCTTTGTTCATGCAACCAACCTTGCTTCGCAGCCGAAGCGGAGCTAAACTTACGCTGGTTTCTTCCAATGAGGAAAAAAAGACATATCGAAACGTTCTATCGAACACATTTTCTATTGATATTGATTACGTGTCTATCAACATGCATATCGTTATTGTTTTATCGCCCAGCCCTAATATATATCCATATATGATCCAGTTTTATGAAAATCACTGACAGGTGGTGTGACTGTAAAGCTTTTGTCCTGGCCCAGTGACCAAAGTTACACAGTGCAAGACCAGGAGGACAGAGGAACCGTTCACTCTGTTACAGTCAGTCGAACATAAACAGGATTCTGTTATTGTAAAGTTACATAATGAGCTTTAAAGTCGGTACCAACATGTGTTGTTAGGTAGGTTATGTTAATATTTAAACTTTTATTGGAGAGTTAAAATGTCTAAACATAAAGAGCGAGGACTTGTTTTCAGACTCTTTCATGAACATTGATTTTAAATCTTTTAATATGGAGCCATAGATCAACCAATAATATCACTAATCTATTTTCTTTATCTGATCTTTCTGCAGGATCTGTGACATCATTAGCTGGAATCGGAATCTCAGTCGATTCTTCACTGACCAGATAAAGACTAACTTTGTTATTCTGGTTCAGCTGTTTGGGTGTTTATAATCACATTATTGATTATGCTTCATTGATTGGTTTTGTTTTACATGTGATGTTTGAGTGATGAAAACATTTAATAAACTGAACTGAAATAACTGCTGACTCTGGATCAGTTCCTCCTACAGGTGACCTCTAATTGATCATCTATAACCTATAATCTATAATCTATAGTCAGACATGTCACTGTTGAATTTAGTAGCATATTTGTTTGCTTACATGTATTCATGTTTTATTTACGTTAGAAATTGACCAAAGAGAAGAACAGGAACATGTCAGTCTGAATAATGAACGGTTTATTTTTTTAGGATGTTTTTAACCCTAACCCTGTATCCCTGCAGTCCTCCGTCAACAGTTTGCAGTCCATGACATAGAAACACTGCTTAAGGGTTTTCTCAGTGTCCTTAGACCAGAACTTCATAGTCCTTGTGCTGGTCATTTTTTTACTTCACCAGTGGTTGGTATAAAGGTTCAAGGTGCATCAGGTTGTGGTCTGATTCTTCAAGTGGGAGATGGAAAGATAAGCTGTATGCCCCCTTCACACTGGTCCAGGTTTTTTTTTTTCTCTCTTGTTAAACAATTAACATATTCTTTACAATTTGTCAGGAGAAGGGGTGGGGTTAGACCATGGGGTAGAATCAGGGTTACAGGAGCCTACAAATGCAGAAAAGAAGGACCTGAGCCTGAAAACTAACAAAACATCAACATACAAAGATTCTTTAAGGGCCTGAGTGCACAGTGTTTATTTTTTCTGGAATGAAAACTCTGTCAGGATGCTGGAGAGATCTGGGATGAAGAACTTTTGTGTTGAGAGAAAACAATTCTACACGTTTTGTTTAGTGGCTCATAACAACAAGGTCCTGAGTTCAATTTCCAGTCTTTCTGTGTGGGTTTCCTCCACCATCAAAACATGTACAGTTGTGGTCAAAAGTTTACATACACTTGTAAAGAACATAATGTCATGGCCGTCTTGAGTTTCCAATAATTTCTACAACTCTTATTTTTCTGTGATAGAGTGATTGGAACACATACTTCTTTGTCACAAAAAACATTCATGAAGTTTGGTTCTTTTATGAATTTTGAAGCTAAAGACCCATTACTTGACTTGACTTGAGACATTGATGACTCGACTCAAATTTTATGTTTTAGTTTATAATATTTTATTAAAAATATGAAAAATGTTCAATGTTGTCGTGTCGACAAGTATCTTTGTAACCTTAATGTAATGTGAGTGCACACTGTGAATGACATTATCAATCGAATTGGATGACTACCTGTCAGTCCAAGGTCATCAAGATGCTATGGATCTCTGGATCGATCAGATTATCATCATCATGCTGTGCCAGTTCATTAATTAAGTTGTTAATCAGTGTGTTTTTTTACCTAGGAATGACTTTTTTTATCTAGACACCTTCCATGGAGCCATCATGTTAACCTGCCATTCATTCGTACATGTCAACAACCGATTAATTTGAGCGTCGTTCCATAGCTTATTTTCTCATTAACATGCTTGGAAGGCCAAGCGGCTATATACAATAGGGTTTAGCTAAGATACCTATCAACTGTCCTTTCTCAGATTGATTCTCATATTTAAATCTCATTCTATCTCTATAGAATATAACAAGCTAGTGAAACCCATAGTTGTAATCTCTCCAATAAACTCTACACACCATAGCAAACTAAAATAAGATCTTCTCTACCAGATAGTATAAAATACAAGAATAACAGCTGAGAGAATTATCATGATATTATATGTGTTTGCTGTGTGCAATATGCTGAAGTTGGTAAACACAAAATAACCTGAAGAGACCAGAAGTTATTATTACTATATAATAAGAAATCATAGGTTACTCGTTATCTGTTGTTAAAACCGAAGATGTTAGAGTAAAAAGGTATGCTAGCTTGAAGTGACAATTAAGGGGCACTAATACGAATTTGTTTTGGTAATGGCGTTGATGATGTGTGAAGTGCTAAAAACCAGCTGGGAATCGGGCCAAGGCATGTCTGGAGGTTGAAGGTTTTAATCATTGTTGTTATAAAACTCCGACACCTTGCACACTCAGGAGTGGATATGGTCTATAACCCAGGTGTTTGTGTTAAAGGAATAAGAACTCAATTTTGGACCTTCTACAATATAGGTTTGTAAGTTGGTGCAAAATAACTCCCAGGTTATCAAAAATATGGGTGGAATTGAAGATTAGTCAAAAACTCTTTCATTGAGGTTCTCTAGTCCGAATACCATTCAGTGCCTAGATAGAAAGTATCATACTTTAATTAATGAATGGTTGTCTGTATTAGAATAAGTAGTTTAACACACTTGATAGCATACTTAAAGATAACCTGTACAGTTGTAACCTTCAAGCACTTTTGCGTTTGTTCAATAAATTTTTTTCACTTATAGCTGAACTTGGACAGTATGCCAGCTCCCTGTGACCCTGGCAAAGGAATTTGGTATGAGGTCTACTTGTAGTAATATCAACCATTCACGTTCATTTCTCGTATCTTCTTCTCTCCACCGTTTTCGCTTTCTACTTACTCAACCCGCCACAAATCACTGGGAAACAGAAACCACAGTGAGACAAGTAGATTTTGACACCAGCACCTTGGCTTCTTGCACAAACCGGTCCAACTCAGACGGGATGTTGTTTTTCGGGTGGCCGCCCGTTACGACAATATTTGGGCTACGTCCGGTTCTCCCAGAGGTGGGTGCCGTTAGGTTACATTGGCGTTAGTCCAAGGAGATTTGGGATCCCTCTGGATAAGCAGGGACCATTTATGAGGGAGTAATCAGGGATAACCAGCCATGACATTTCAGGACTAACTAGGGAGCTTCCCTTTAATGTACCAGACATTACTTAAAAAACCGGATGACCTTATGTGTATAGAATTGAATTGATTGTTGATTAACATATATGTTCATGACGTTGTGAGTTTCCAAATAAATTTCTAACAACTCCTTTTTTTCCCTGTGATAGAGTGAGTGAGAGTGGAAGGAGCCTCAGCCAGATCCTGAAAACAATCATTGACTTGAACAAGTCAGGAAAAGTCACTTGGAGCCCATTTCAAGAGCCAGATACAGGTCCCAAGAGCAACTGTGCAAACAATTGTTTGGTAAGTAATAAGTGCATGGCACAGTTTTGTGTCACTGCCGACGATCGTCAGGAAAGATTAAAACGCACAGCTATCACCTGTTTCTGAGAGAAAAATCAGGATTGCCTCAAAGGGTCAACTGGAGAAACCAACCAAACAAGCCAGGTCTGCAAATGCAATTTAGAAAGCCTGCTGGAACACAAGGTGTCCAGTGTCCACACAGTCAAGCGTGGTTTTAAACATCGTTGGCA